CCCATATTCCAAACCAACTTGGCGAGCAAAAGTATAATTTGGCAAATCGTCGAATGGATCAGAGATCACGATCCAGCTCGCCTAAATTTCCAAAACAATTTGTTGAGGGAGTCAGGACAAAAGGAGAGAAGAAGCACAACTCGGTGGTTCGCCGAGTTGATCGGTGAGCTCGACTAACCTCGCCAACTGGACTCCGTGTTGAGGTTTTGTGAACGTATAAATTCATTTTTTGAAAGAAGAAAAGGGGTTCCCGCACAATGTATTCCTGAGTCTTTAAGAGTTTTTACATTTTACACATTGTAAAACATTCTTGGAGAAGATTCGGATCTAGAATTGGAAATTTTAGGATTTTAGCTTTGATTTTGGCATTGGGTATTGCAGATTGTTAGAAATTCAGATGGAAAATCTTGTTGGTAACGATTTCTTACTTTCCACTATGTTTGGCTAAAACCCCTTACCTTACGGGTGTGATCATGTAGTCAAATGCATCAATTAGCTAATGAGTGTTATTAATTACTGAATATAATGTTGTTTTGAAATGGGTTTAATTGTTTGTTCATGTTTTAATTGATGAACTGAAGTTGCAAATTCAATTCTAGTTTAGCTCTCTATGCTTGCTTGAGAAAGAAGTATTACAGTAGAATGAATGATTGATAGTTGTATCGATTGCATTTTTAAAATCAAGCGAGAAAGTGGATTTGATTGCGTCTTTACAAACCCAGCTTGAGAAAGTGGGTTTATTAAGGAATTGGGTTGTTTGGTAGTGTTAAGCTTGTTGAAGTTCAAGAGAACTCACTCGAAACATGATAGTTGATCGAGAGATGGATATTGTATTCAAAACCTATCCTACCCATTGAGATTCAACAACTCTAAGAAATTAGTAACTATTTAACTCCCGTGTTAGTTGTTCCTTGTTGCAATTGGTTACTAAATTTTCCCCATTTGATGTCAATTGTTGAAACTTTGTGATTTAATTTTATGCTGCGAAGTTTTTACTCCTACAAACGATTAGAACACGTTTTTACTTCATAGTTGAATTCTTTACCGTATCACTCATTGTGGGATCGACCTCAACTCTTAATTAGGTTTATACTTGTTAGTGACCACCTACACTTAAAATCGGATAAGTGTAGTTGAGCGATATCAATAGGCGAGAAGAAGAGGCTTCAGATGTTGTTATGACATATATTATTTTGGTTTGTCATCGATCAGCTACTGTATTATTTGATCCAGACTCTACTTATTTGTATGTGTCCATATATTTTGCTTTGAGATTGGATATATTATGTGAGTCTCTTGATTTACCAGTACATGTATCTACTCTTGTTGGGGATTTTATAATGGTTGATCGGGTATATCGACTTTGTATAGTTTCCTTGATGGGATATGACACTCGTGCAGATTTGAAAGTCTTAGATATGGTAGATTTTTATCTGATTCTTGGTATGGATTGGTTATATCCTTATCACACGATTTTGAATTGTTGTGCCAAGACAGTTACATTAGCTCTGCCTAGGATTCCTATAGTTGAATGGAGAGGTTCTCTTAGTCATTCTTTGAAAAGGGTAACATCATTTATTAAGGCTCGTTGTTTGGTGGAGATGGGTTGTTTGGCTTATTTGGCACATATTCAAGATGCTAGTGTCAAAACTCAAATGTTAGACTCTATTCCAATGGTGAGTGAGTTTTCAGAGGTTTTTCCGATAGACCTATCAGGTCTTCCACCTGATTGTGACATTGATTTTTGTATTTATTTAGATTCAGGCACTCAGCCTATTTCCATTCCTTCTTATCGTATGGCATCGACTGAATTGAAAGAGTTGAAGGAATAGTTGTAGAATTTGTTGAGCAAGGGGTTTGTTAGACCGAGTGTATATCCTTGAGGTGCTCCAGTGTTATTTGTGAAGAAGAAAGATGTATACATGCGTATGTGTATTGACTATCGATAGTTGAACAAGGTTACCATCAGAAATAAGTACTTGATACCTCGTATTGATGATTTATTTGATCAGCTTCAGGGTGCTTCAGATTTCTCCAAGATTGACTTGAGATTCGGTTATCATCATTTGTAGGTTATGGTGGAGGATATCCCTAAGACAGCTTTCCGGACACGTTATGTCCATTATGAGTTTCTGGTGGTGTCTTTTGGGTTGACTAATGCCCAGAAGCTTTTATGGACTTGATAGAGGGAGCAGAGCGTACTTTGATTCCTTTTTTATTGTCCTCATAGATTATATATTGATATACTTCTGTAGTAAGGAGTAACACGAGCATCATTTGAAGATTTTGCTTGGGATTCTGAAAGAGAATAAGCTTTATGCAAAGTTTTCTAAGTGTGAGTTTTGGCTTAGTTCAGTAGCATTTTTGGGACATGTAGTGTCCAAGAAGGGTATTATGGTGGATCCTAAGAAGATTGAGACCGCTGGAGATCGGGTCTGAGATTTGAAGTTTCTTATGCCTTGCAGATTATTATCGATGATTTGTAGAGGGGTTCTCATCCATTGCATCCCTAGTAACTAGATTGATCCAGAAAGAAGTGGCTTTCCAATGGTCAATGAGTGTGAGGTGAGTTTCAAAAGCTCAAGGCTTTGTCGACTACTGCTCTAATTTTAACTCTACTCGTAGAGGGAGAGGGTTTCATTTTATATTGTGATGCTTCTCGGATTGGTCTTGGTTGCGTATTGATGCAGAGGGGGAAGATGATAGATTATGCTTCGAGGTAGTTGAAGGTTCACAAGAAGAGCTACCCTACTCATGACTTGGAGTTGGCAACTGTAATGTTTGCATTGAAGATTTAAAGGCATTACCTTTATGGTGTACATTGTGAGGTGTTCACGGATCATCGTAGTCTCCAGCATATATATTCAATCATATGGATCTCAATTTGAGGCAACGGAGATGGTTAGAGTTGCTCAAAGACTACGACGTGACTATTCTTTATCATCCGAGAAAGGAAAATGTGGTAGCAAATGCCTTGATTAGAAAGACGGTAAGTATGGGTAGTCTAGGCTTGATAAAGGTTGGCGAGCGTCCTTTAGCTAGGGACGTCCAGTCCTTGGCCAATAGCTTTGTAAGGCTTGATATTTTAGAATCTGGTAAGGTTTTGGCTTTTGTGGAGGTTAGGTCATAATTGTTGGAGCAGATTCAGACTCAACAGTTTGATGATGGTGATTTATGTAAGATTGGAGACCAGGTGTCAAAACAAGAAGTCAAGGATGCAATTCTTGATAGCGAGGGAGTTTTGAGGATAAAAGGTTGTATTTGTGTTCCTTGGACAAGTGATTTGATTAGACTGATCATGGAGAAGGCCCATAGTTCAAGGTACTCTATTCATCCGGGGGCTACTAAGATATATTGTGACTTGAAGCAGCATTATTGGTGGTGTCGTATGAAGAGGGACATAGTAGATTTTGTATCTCGGTGTTTGAAATGTCAGCAAGTGAAGTATGAACACCAAAATTCAGGAGGTATGACTCAGAGGATGACCATACCTGAGTGGAAGTGGAAGTGTATTGATATGGATTTTATGGTAGGATTTCCATGTACCTTGGGTAAGTTTGATGTTATATGGGTCATCGTGGATCGACTGACTAAGTTTGCACACTTCATACCAGTTCAGACTACCTATAATTTTAGAGAAGTTAACCTAGCTCTATATTCGAGAGATAGTTCTCTGGCATGGGGTTCCCATTCCTATTATTTCATATCTTGGCACATAATTCACATCTCATTTCTAGTGGTCGATGTAGAAAGAGTTGGTCACTCGGGTGGATCTTAGTACAGCCATTCACCCTCAGACTGATGGTCAGTCTGAACGGACTATTCATGTTCTTTAGGACATGTTACGAGTGTGTGTGATCGAATTTGGTGGTCACTAGGATCAGTTTTTGCCTTTAGCAGAGTTTGCTTACAATAATAGTTATCATTCTAACATTGAGATGGCACCATTTGAGGCTTTGTATGGAAGGAGATGTCGATGTCCAATTGGTTGGTTTGATGCATTTGAGGTTAGACTATAGGGTACAGATTTGTTGAGGGGGTCCTTAGATAAGGTCAAATTGATCCAAGATAGACTTCTCATGGCTTAGAATAGGCAAAAGAGTTATGCAGATCGTAAGGTTCATGATTTGGATTTAGGGCTGGGCGTTCGGTCGGTTCGGTTCGGTTTGTAAATTTTGGTTCGGTTTTTCGGTTTTCGATTTGACAAAATGTGAAACCAAACCAAACTGAAATAAATTCGGTTTGGTTCGGTTATTATAATTTCGGTTTGGTTTATTTCGGTTTGGTTTCAGTTTAACCAAATTTAATTAACAGTGGTCTGTGGACTTTAGTACTTGTTGTCTAACCAAATTTATATCCATTCTTTTTATTTGAAAGAGGAGGAGACGTTAAGTAGATAATGAATAGAAAAATCACATTTCTTCATGAGTAAGTAAGTTCTATTAACTGATGAACAGAAAAATCACATTTTAGCCCTTGTTGCATGTTTTGTGCCATAAGCACAAAATGCCAACCGGATATAGTTTATCATGAAGTCGTTTCGGCAGAAAGAAACATCAGCCTGGAAAGCAACATTAAAATTGTTCCACTGTGAAACATAAAGTGACAAGTTACTGATCAACATATCAGGCTGCCTTTAGCATCGACGTAATCCCATATTTTCATGCTTAAAGAATAAGAACATTGGTGCAACTAACTAATGCATAAACGTATTGAGAAACATCATTGATAATTCTTGTCCAAGCAGTCCAGCAGGCAGCAACATTAACAAACTAGTCAAGAATACGAATAAAAAGACTATCAAGAGTCAAGACAACAACACTAGAGAATTCAACAAACTTGTGCCCAGCCCTAAAATAAAGTTAGTTACAAACTAAAGTCCAGCTGCAGTAGGCAGCATTGCAATTTTCAGCAACCAAAAGATTTAGAAAATCAACAAAACATTGTTGCAGCCTCCAGTGCAATAGCTCCCAAGTTCCAAGTTCCAACAAAGAGCAACCAAGAAAATAACAAAACATTGATGTGCCTACGAGAAAATAGAACTCTTTAGACAAATGATCTACATTTCATAATAAAATATATAAAACTATCAAGCAAGTTATGTAAATAAGTTCTTTACTTACCCGTTACCACGCATCACTAGTTGATAGTTGAACTTACAAGTTGCAATTATATATCAATAATACTAGATTCAGTCCCACTACAAGCAAAATCTAAAAAAATATGAAAGAATTTGTTAGTTGTTAAGAAACACAAATAAGAAAATTATTTTCAATATAATTAATACAAATACCAAATTCTTACCAAGTTCAAGTTGCTCAAGATACTTTAAATCTTCCTCAATATTGATTGGAAAAGACTCACTTCTAAGCCAATCTTGAACACAAATAAGAGATTGCACAAGTTTAGGAGTTAATGAACTCCTAAAGGGATCAAGAACACGACCTCCTGTGCTGAATGCACATTCTGATGCGACACTTGAAATGGGAATGGCTAACACATCACGAACCATCTCCGCGAGAATAGGAAATCTCGGCTCATTAACTTTCCACCACTTTAATATATCAAAGTCATCACTATCTGGCTCAATATCTTCAGCAAGATATCTTTCCAATTCTGATTCACTACCTGAACTTCCACTAACTTCTTTATGCTTCTCAAATTGTTGTTTCGTTCTCATTCTTCCTCTATTTACAAAGTTGCCACAACCACTCACACTAGATATAATTGATGAATTGTCAGATGTAGTGGGTGAAGATGGTACATGTAAAGAGATTTTTGAGGATTTCTTAACATAATATTCAAACAATTTGGTCATGTATTTTTCCACTTCTGAACATAGCTTGTCCCCAATTTCTTTTTCAAACATATCCACAATTGCAAATGGAACATAATCAAGCTTGTTACGAGGATCCAATATGGATGAAATAAAGATCATCTTGTTCATTTTATGTGGTTCACCCCAATACTTTCTGAACTTCTCATTCATACTTTCTGCCATTTCTTTCAAATTACCATCTTCATTTGCCATCATCTCTTTCAAAATAAGATTAAGTTCAACAATTTCAACAAAGTGTGTATTGCTAGTGACATAATTAGAACCAGAGACCTTCAAAGTAAGTACATAAAAAGTTTCAAGAAATTTCACCATTGACCTCACATTTTTCCAGCCAACACTTGTAAGAATATCTACACTAGTTCCATCTTCAACACTAGTTTCATCTTTATCTTCAGAAGAATCAGAACCAAAGGTACGAAGATGATTCAAGTATCCAATATCATAAAAACTATATCTTTCAAATGCAAGCTCAAAATGTTGTGCTATATCAAGCATCGAATATGTAGAGTTCCACCTAGTAGGAACATCTAAACATAATGATTTCTTACAAGTTATCAATTGAGATTCACAACATTCTTTAAACTTTCTAAGTCTTGCGGGAGATTGTTTAATGTATTTCACGGCTTGTCTCACTAGCTTGACAGACTTACCAATTTCCTTCAACCCATCTTGCACAATAAGATTAAGGATATGTGACATACACCTCACCTGAAGATGATCACCATTCATAATGTCAGTTCCCCAATTACTCAATTGTTTAGACATTTCTTTAACAGTAACATCATTAGAACTAGCATTATCAACTGTAATAGTAAACACGTTATCCAAACCCCATTCAAGCAAACAATTAGTAATGCAAGCCGTCATATCCACACCCTTATGACTAGAAATAGGACAAAAATTTATTATTCTTTTATGCAAAGTCCAATTTCTATCTATAAAGTGGGCTGTCAGGCACATGTAGTTGATTTTTTGTATAGAGGTCCAAGTATCTGTCGTGAGACAAACTCTTGGACGTGCTTCTTTGAAAACCTTCTTCAAAAGTTGTTTTTCTTCAAGGTATAGTTCATAACAATCTCTTGTCACGGTTCTACGAGAAGGAATATGAAATTGTGGCACCGTAACTCTCATGAAGTTTTTAAAACCCTCTTTCTCAACAAAACTAAATAGTAGCTCGTCAACAATTATCATTTTGGCTAAAGATCTCCTACTTTGTGCTTGGTCAAATTTCCAAGTGCTAATCACCCCTTCCTTTGCTCCCGTTGAAGATGGTAGAAAATTAATTAGATTTTGACCTTTATCTACGGTGTCACGGGGAAATTTAGGACATGTTCTCATGTGAGTATTCATTGATGACGTACCATTACTTGATGTAGAAGTTGCATAAGGTTTTGCACAATACTTGCATTTGGTTTTACTAGCTCCACTTTCATCGGTGAACTTGTCAAAATGCTTCCAACAATTAGCTCTAGGTTCCATGGCTTTTCTTTTCTTTGAAGTATCAACATCAACTTCAACCTCATTCGGAGATGAGGTGTTAGGTATGCTCTCATTTGAAGCTCCACTTTCACTTACCCTACTTCCAGTTTGTGTCATCTATAAAAAAGTGAAACAAACAAGAACAACAATCATAATTCAGAAAGACACAGTACATTATAGTTCACAAATCACACAAATTATCACATAGTTGCATGATTGCATAGTTGCATTCAATGATTAAAAAAACTGAAAGAGGAGAATTTTATAGGAAAATAAAGCACAGTATTGTTACAGACAAATCACTTTTCAAACTGAAAGAGGAGAATTTCAAACTCTCTTAGGAAACAAAATTTATTCTATGACTGAAATGACCATAATTTGCTATTTTTTTCTACTAAATCTGGAGTTCTTTCTGAATGATTCATTCATTTTATCTTTCCATTTGTTCAGGGTGGATATTGACGCTAGGATTAGCTTCAACAATTGTCATGCCATAATACATGCTATCACTCCTAAAATAAAGTTCCTTGAGTACCAAACGCTTAGGTCATGTTTTTCACAAGTAATACAAACTGAAATGGTTAATTTGACTACGAAGTAAAAACTATAAAGTAGGTACTTCTTTTGCTGCCCAGTAGGTATAACCTAAGTTTCCATCAATGGAAATACAATTTTGACTTGCAAATTAGCTGATCTGTTCACTAGTTGACTAATAGAATATTATTATTTTTTCTCACACATTCGAAGGTGAATTCCCATTATGTATCAAATCACTTTTGTCTCCCAACACGTAAGTAACACATTTCAAGTTGCTAGCTTGCCAAGTGACCTCTTCGAATGATTAGACACAGCATAGTTAATAATCACAATCAATAACCGTTTCTTAGACTACTCGTCATATTAGACAATTATGGTACAACCAAACCTCGTTATAACAATATTTTATTTATCCACAAAAATGAGAGTTGAGAGATGAGAGACGAGTCGACCGACGACTTCTAGTCTACTACGAGTCTAAGACTTACGAGTTACGAGTGACGAGACTTGAGAGCTACGGCGTATGTTGAGAGATGAGACTTGAGAGCTACGGCGTATGTTGAGAGATGAGAGACGACAACTGAATCTGATGTTAGGACTTAGGGCAATCAATTTAGGGATTTTTGAATTTTGATTGGAATTGGGTTGGGCATGGGCTGAGAATTTTAATTAAAGTTGTGGGCTATCAGCTATAATTGGGCCTGCTGGGAATGGGGTAAAGAATATATACATATAATTTTGGTTTTTCGGTTAACCGATTTTTTAAAGCTAAAAACCGAAAACCGAACCGAAAAACTGAAATATTGAAAATCAAAACCGAAACTGACCGAAATAACCAAAATCAAAATTTAAAAAAATCGGCTCGATCGGTTTTTTCGGTTTTAACCATATTATGCCCAGCCCTATTTGGAGTTCATGGTTGGAGAGAGGGTTCTATTGAAGGTTTCGCTCATGAAGGATGTGATGAGATTTGGAAAGAAGCAAGTTGAGCCCAATGTAGATTGGTCCTTTCGAGATTGTTGAGCGAATTGGTGAGGTGGCGTATGAGTTGGCTATACCACCTAGTTTGTCTAGTGTTCACCCAATATTTCATATTTCGATGCTGAAAAAGTATCATCAGGGTGATGCTCATGTGATTCAATGGGATTCTGTGTTACTTAATCAGAACTTGACTTTTCAGGAGGATCCAATAACCATCTTGGATAGGCAAATTCAGAAGTTGAGGTCGAAGGAAATTGCTTTAGTGAAGGTTCAATGAAAGCACCGTCTGATGGAGGAGGCTACATGGGAGACTGAGTCAAACACGAGGATTAGGTATCCTCAACTTTTGGAGCGTTCATGTACTTTTGATTCTTTGACCATTCGAGGACGAACGTTTGTTTAAGTGGTAGATGATGTAATGACTCGTTAGATCGTTTTGAGCACTAGAACTATTTTGACTCTTCCGATAAAATATTTAAATGGAATCTTGAGTTATGTGTTGACTTCGGATATTTAGTTGATAGATAATATTTTTTTAAAATAATTAAATTAATGGGTGGTTAATGAGCCAAGCCTATTATTTATTTGATAGCCTATCTCACTTGGCCCATGTGTTGAAATAACTTAGTGGGATTTAATATCTTTATATCAAAATTTGAGTAAGAGAAAAAGAAAGGGTAAGGAACGCCGCAAGACGAGAACGACTTCAAGTAAAAAAAAACTTTTCTTCAGCCGGCTTATACTTTCTGCATATACGCATTGATATAATTGTTGGTGAGAATGCTATTTATTTGTTGCCAGTGAATATGTTAATGTTAGATGCAAATATAGGTTAATTGAAAGTTAATTAATTTGTAATAATTATTAGGCAATCATTAGACAATGATTGAGAAGTCTGGAATGGAAAATCAAATTATAGGGGTATTGGTGTTTGGGTAAAGTTTTACCAATTTTTTGCTTCCGTGAATTATACGCTATGCTCGCATATTTCTCCTGATTTCCTCTTATTATTATATTAAAAATCAAGTTTCGATATATTGAGAGTAATATTAGGTGTATTGCATTATGTGAATATTATCAGAATTATGTTATTTGGAGAAATTATGATTTAATCATAGGCTTGAATTTTAGGAAGTATGAGACTTGGTATGTTAATTGTATCAAGTTTAGGAGCTTGATTAGAGATATGGAAGAGTTTTGGATCTAGGCTAGACATATAGTAATTTGGGCGTCTACAGACTCGTTTATTTATGAATATTGCATATGTGATAGATTGGGAACGCTCTGAAGCTTTACGACAAAGAAAGACAAAATCTTGAGGATTCGAGGCACGTGTTTGACATTCAAGGTATGCTAAGACTTTCAGATTTCGTTGAAGGACATTTTTTTCTAATTGAAGATTAAATATGGAATAGACAATGGGTAAGGGCGAAATATGGGGCTCTTGTACAATGGTGTGACGGGCATTAGTACGATTGTTGATGTTATAAAGGAAAAGTTTATTACTATAGAATGACGGATTGTAATTGGATGGGCATTAGCTGATAGATTATTGACTTGATATCTCTTGTGTGATTGTGTTTCCTTATTGAACTTGTATATGTGTGATAGTTAAGGTGATTATATATCACTTCGATATTTGATTGATTGAGATGCATCATTCCCTTTTATTGAAATCATATTGTGCATATGCATTCACATGAGATTATGTATAAGTTGGGCATGTGGAGATCGTTCGTGTTGGGGATTGTGAGATGTTATGATTATAAGTTGGGCTCATGGAGATCATTCGTTCTGGGGATTTTTTAATTTTATGATAGTGCGTTGAGATCGTCCGCATAGACACGTGGAGATCGTTTGTGTCAGTATATGGGCCTCGTAAGTCTCCATGGGTTATGAACTCTCGATGTATTTCCGAGAAGTATCATGCATACACGGT